ACACACACACACACACACACACACACACACACACACACACACACACACCCACACACACACACACACAGCACTCTACTACATCTGTACAAAGATAATCTGAATCTATAGAGACTAATCAAAGCTATAGATCACATTCACACTCCCCTGGGGGCAATGAGGGGTTCAGTGTCTTGCCCATGGACACTTCAACATGTGACTGCTGGTGGAATCGAACCCTCAACTCTCCCACTGGAGAACGACCGCTCTAGCCAGTCTTGTTCATTTTAGTGGATTTGTTCGTTTTAGCTTCTGTTCTGCTTGTTTTAGCTGAAGCGATGAACTCTGGCGACCTCTATAGGAGCTCCTCATGCAGCGAGGGAGGAGGTGCGACATGAATCCTGAAATTTTGTTTGACTTTTTATCATCGTTATTATTATTTTCCATATTATGTTGTAAATAATAAACACTCATTACATATATTTTTTTATTTTTCCCTGGCTCTTATTTCAGCAGATGCCTGCAGACTGATAAATATTCATGAGCCTTTCAGGCCTGAGGAAGCTGCTGGAGACGGCTGGTTGTCAAGGTAACGGAGACTGAAAGCGGAAATGCAATAAGCGAGCCTTCAAAATAAAACGCAATACCGTGAATGTGAAAAGGGAAACGTTCAAAAATCCAAGTTACAACAGAAACAATATCGGCTTTTGAGGAGGATTCATATTAACTTTTTAAAACGACAAATTTACTTCACGCATCCTTGGCTGTTCCATTTTGTTGACAAATTGTCTGACGTGCTCTTTCATCTTTTGCTTCAGAGAAACAAACAGTTAATACGACTCAAACAGCAGAAATAAAACAACTCATGTTAAAAATGTTTATTGCCTTTCAAATTTGCATTTGTCCCGAGTAGCATCAAAAGAAGAATAATATGAAATGACGTCAGGTGCAACGACAGTGAAGAACAAAACAGATCAAATATATTCAGACACATCTGCTGCACGTCTGGACTTCGTGAAGTGTGTTTGTGGTTCGCCACGGCAGCCATTTTTATGACCCGAATGTTCCACCAGGACCACAGAGCATTCTGGAGGTTTGTCAGAACCTGGAGGTTCCTCCTGCCGGAGGCCAGCAGGTAAACAGTCACAAACTCTCTGTTCTGTTTTCAACTCTTTATTCAGAGAAGAGACACCACCACAACAACAACAACAACAACAACAACAACAACAACAACAACAACAACAACAAGTAAAATAGAAAATAATGAAATGTTTTCTTGGATATGAGGCGAACTACCCGAGTTAATTTCAGACGTCGTCACCAGAAGTTTATTTGATTTAAAAACATCCTTTGGAGTGTCTCAAGAAGTTTCCCGTTTGGATACAAATGAAACATTTAGCATAAAAATATTTTCTTATTTGTTACTTTCAAACATTTTGTAGAAATAAAACAGCTCCATCTCCGGCTCTTCAGGCTTCCTGCTGCAGTGACAACTGCACAAAAATAACATAAAATAAAATAAAAGATCCTGGTGAACGTGTCAAAGTGGAGCGGTTCGGGTCAGTTGTACATGGTCATGTGGAGCCACTGGAACAAACAACAAACAAACATTTAAATAAACAACAACAACGTATCAGTCAAAAATAACAATAAACTACCAATAAAAATAACTCACTAAGTTTTAACAAAAGGCAAATGATTTAACTTTAAAATAGATCAACAAGAAGTTGTCTGCAAACAAACACTGAGCCCATGTTTGACTCAATAAATACTATTTTAGATTCCCTCAGAATCAAACACCATCAAATCTCTTTCACCCTCCACTTCACACATTTTGTTCCAACGTTATACAAAGTAGTTTGTTTTACTTAAAATGATCAAACAGCCGCTAGGGAGCACCAGCCGGTGTATTTCTGGTTCTGGTCCCAAGCCCAAGTAAATGGTGAGGGTTGTGTCAGGAACAGCATTTGACATAAAACACTGTTGCCAAAACTAACATGCGAGTTCATCAAAGCGAAACCATAACGGATCGGTCGAGACCCGGGTTAACAACGACCTCCACCGGTGCTGTTGACAAACAGTGCTGGTGGAAATTGTGCTGCTGTCAGTCGAAGACCAGGAGGATGGAAACGTGTCAGGAGACAGAGGAAGACGAGGAAAGTGAAGAATGTAGGACTGAGGGTGGCAACTCTAAATGTGGAGACGACGACAGGCAAATGTAGAGAGCTGGCTGGCATGATGCTGAGAAGGAAGGTAGATGTTTTATGTGTCCAAGATACCAAGTGGAAGGACACCAAGGCTCTTAGCACTGGAGTAGGTTCAAACTGTTTTACCATGTTGTGGATAGAAAGAGAAATGGAGTAGGGGTGGTCCTGAAGGAGGAGTTGGCAAAGAATGTAGTAGAGGTGAAAAGAGTGTCAGATATATGTCTGAAGGTAGGAGTAGATTTTATGCTAAAATGTTGTTTGTGGTTATGCTCCACAGGTTGGATATGATGGGTAGGAGAAAGATACATTTTGGAAAGATCTGGATGAAGTGATGGAGAGTATTCTCAGGGAGGAGAGAGTGGTGATCGGGGCAGACCTGAATGGACATTTTGGTGAAGGAAACAGACGGGATGAGGAAGTGATGGGTAGGTTTGGTGTTAAGGAAAGAAACCTGTAAGGACAGATGGTGGTGGATTTGATCAAGAGAATGGAAATGACTGTAGTCAACGCTTATTTCCAAAAGAGGGAGGAACATAGAGTGACCTGTAAGAGTGGAGGAAGGAGTACGTAGGTCGACTACATTCTGTGTAGAAGCATGGCCAGACAACATCAGTTAGTTGTGTGTAGAATGACTGTTGTTGTGAAGAAGAGAAAAAGAGTAAAATCAGAGAAGAAGACCAAATGGTGGAAGATGAAGAAGGAAGAATGTTGTGAGAAATTCAGAGAGGAGCTGTTAAAGGCTCTGGGTGGTAAGAAAGAGCTTACAGATGACTGGGCTACTACAGCAACAGTAATTAGAGAGACAGGTAGGAAGGTACTTGGTGTGTCATCTGGACAGAGAATGGATGATAAAGAAACCTGGTGGTGGAATAGTGAAGTGCAGGACACTGTTCAAAGAAAGAGGTTAGCCAAGAAGAAATATGACAGTGAGAGGACTGAAGAGAGTAGACAGGAATATAAGGAGATGGGACGTAGAGCAAAGAGGGAGGCAGCTTAGGCAAAGTGGAAGGTGTATGAGTTGTATGGGAGACTGGACACTAAAGAGTAGAGCCCGACAGATATGGAAATATTGGCTATCGCTGATACAGATATTGGGAGAGGAAGGCTAATGCTGATAACCAATATATTGGCTGCAATACTTTTAGCTTTGTCATGACATGGTGGTAGTTGGGGTGAGGACAGAGGATGCCGAGTACAGAGATGGAGGAGGATGTTTCGCTGTGGAGACCCTGAAGAGGGAACAGCTGAAAGAAGAAGAAGGAATGCACAAAAAAGGTGCACTGAGCAGCAGAGGGTTACATTTTGTTTGCTTCCTTGTGCTTCTGTACCTGTCTGTAGCTGACGGTTACCGTTCCCTGTCCCACCATGTCGTACGCCTGAAACTTGTCTGTGAGGAAAGAAAAGGAAGCGGCTCAGTCTCAGAGTCATGTTCAAGGAATCTTAAAAAACTTCGCAACAGATAAATGAGAGGGTTTCAGGTGACGGAGTAAAGTTTCCTGAATGTCTCCTACCTCAGTTCAAGTCAAAGTTTCAAACAACGATAATCTCATCAGAGAGAAAAAAAACAGTGTTGGAGCTGCTTTGGTCACTTGTTCTTGAGGTATTTTGCCAACAGGCATAGTCACGACTCCATGGTTGATGCCTTTCAGCAGTCGGCGATAACCAAGTCCCCTTACAGACTACAGGTCAGATATCTTGGCTAGATAATTTCAGATATCGGTATATCGGATAGTTTCAAAATTGGGCGGTCTCAGACCCAGTGGCAGCTGGTGGACTTTTCTCCAACTCCAAAATAGACATATACCAAACATATACTAAGGTTTCACACTAGTGTATTTACATGAATGATAACAATATAAGCAACATTATAATGTCATGTATTGTTCTACTTTTTGTACATACATTTTGCCCTTCTATCCTTGAGAGAATCAAATTTCTTTCAAAGCCTTGTTGTTAAACCAGGTCCTGGAAAAAGACAGAGTGTACTGTCTCCCTCTGTCTTTGGACTGCTGATTAACTGATGTTCGGCTGCAGGTCCAAGCTCTTTCACCTCTAGCTTCTCCTGATATGTTCTTCTCTCAAAAGGTATTGTTTTAAGTGACTTAACTAAATTAGTTAATTTCTCTTGCTCCATTTCGCATCTCTGTCCGATCGTCTCAAGCTGAATTCAGCTCTGGGCGCAGGAGAGGTGCGCCCCAGAATGGTCCTATCTCTTGTATTGAAGAGGAGCTACCGCACATGTACAACTTTTAACGAGAGTCTAGGGGCAAAGATTTTTGCACCCCAGGGCGGAAATAAGTCAATCAGATAACGTCAATGAACGAAACAACTTTACTCATCATTAACTATAAAATATTTATCTTACACAACTAAAAAATATATATACATATATTCCATCCATCCATTATCTTTACCCGTTTATTCCATTTTGGGTCACGGGGGTCGCTGGTGCCCATGTCCAGCAATCACTGTGCGAGGGGCGGGGTACACCCTGGACGGGTCGCAAGTCCATCACAGGGCCACACAGAGACAAACGAGACAAACAACCATTCACTCTCTCACTCACACCTAGGGACAATTTAGAGTTACCAATCAGCCTAACATGCATGTTTTTGGTCTGTGGGAGGAAACCGGAGCACCCGGAGAAAACCCACGCATGCACGGAGAGAACATGCAAACTCCACCCAGAAAGGCCCCTGGACCGGGGTTTGAACCAAGGACCTTCTCGCTGAGAGGCAGCAGCTCTACCAGTTGCGCCACCGTGCTGCCTCTATACATATATTATTTCAAAATATTTTAATTTTCTTATTTCATTTTAATTAATTTTTTTTAATGTTTTATTCAAGGAAATGTGTTGAGGCGGCGCCCTTGCACCCTCTATTGACCAGCCGCCACTGCTCAGACCCTTCCTCCAGATTCTGGTTCTGGATTATGGTTAACTTGAGTTCAGATCTGGTTCAACTTTAAAACCTGTTCAGAACTGGTTTGTTTACAGAGTTAGAGCCTCTGCAGAGCTTTGTCTTTTTCAAACACCTCTTGCAATGAATACTGTCAGGGGTGCCTCAAAAGGGGGGCCAGGAGGGGTTATGACCACCCTTAAAAAAATGGTGGCCCCTCACTGGCCCCCCTTGGCCAGACATATTTATCTTGAACCCCAAGATTTTGCATGATGTTCATTTTTAATTTTCTCTAGCTGTTTAGGATTAGTAGAACCTCATTAACATAAAAACAAAAAAAAAAGTTTATTAAACAATTAGGAGTTCAAAATGTAAATGTGATTTTTTTTAAATTCACTCCTTCTAAATTAAAACAAAAACTGAAACTAATGTTTTCAACATCAAATCCTCCTAAAAATGGTAAAACACTTTTTAATTTTATAGATAAAGCAGAAGTGTATTCAGTGTATAACAGAAGCACCAGTTGGTCCGTTTGGTCCATTTAACCTGAGCCCAGACAAAACCCCCGTCACGGTTTCTTACGGATCATGCTCTCCAGCTTCATGACCAGGAACAGGAAGCCCGGGTAACTGATGGTCATGTCGGGTTCTGTGTATCTCAGTCCGACCAGCTGCATCACCAGATCATCCACCATGATGCCTGGTGAGTCCACACACAGTCAGCCATAAATACACATGAACATTTTGCAACATGTGCATCTAATGAAGAGGGAGGAAGAGCACAGGATTATTTCTAAAATAACAACAAAATGACAGGAAGTAAAATATATTTGTTCCTTTTCAAAATAATTCTGAGTGAATACAAAATGAAAAATGTGCGTGGAATAGTTGGACACAACGGACTCCAGAGTAACGTCTAAGCACCTGAAGGCCTCTCTCACATTGACTGATGTTCACGTTCATGAGTCCACCGTCAGGAGAACAACAATGGTGTGCACGGCAGGGTTGAAGGAGAAAGACACTGCTCTCCAAAAAGAACATGGCTGCTCGTCTGCAGTTTGATGAAGATCACGTGGACAAGCCAGAAGACTGTTGGAAGAACGTTTTGTGGACGGAGGAGACCAAAACAGAACTTTTTGGTTTAAATGAAAAGTGTTATGTTTGGAGAAAGGACAACTCTGCACTCCTGCATAAGAACCTTACGCCATCTGTGAAACATGGTGGTGGTAGTATCATGGTTCGGGTCTGTTTGGCTGCATCTGGGCCAGGACGTCTTGTCATCATTGATGGAACAATGAATTCTTAATTATATCAGATAATTCCAAAGGAAAATCTCAGAACATGTGTCCATGAACTGAACGTCAAGAGAAGGTGGGTCATGCAGCGACACGATGACGCTCATCACACAAGTGGTTCTACCAAAGAACGGTTCAGGGAGAATAAAGTTCATGTTGTGGAATGGCCAAGTCAAAGTCTTGACCTTAATGCAATCCAGATGTTGTGGAAGGACCTGAAGCTGCAGTTAATGTGAGGAAACCACCAAGAGTTGAAGCTGTTCTGTACGGAGGAGTGGATCAAGTTCCTCCAAGCCAGGGAGCAAAACTGCTCAACAGTTACCAGAAACGTTTAGCTGTAGTTATTATCGCAGAGCAGGGGCACACCAAGTACTGAAAGCAACGGTTCGCATACTTTTACCACTCAAATATGTATAAATAAATAAATGACCAAGTATAATATTGTTGTCTTGTTTGTTTAACTTGGTTCTCTTTTTCTACTTTTAGGACTTGTGTGAAAATCGGATGATGTTTTAGATCACATAGTCAAACTTGAGGCCCGGGGGCCAAATGTGGCCCTCGTTGACATCTTATCTGGCCCCCAAGATGATGTGTTGAACATAAAATACTTTTTTCACTTGAATTTTTTCAGTAATCTTTGATGGTTATGTCAAAAGTGCAACAGAGAACATCAAATGAGACCAATCAAACTCTTTGTGAGGAATCTATGACCAAAATAAATGCTGGGTATCTAACGTGAGTTCATGTCTGAAACCGGCCCTTAGTTTAAAAAAGGTTTTAATTTTGGACCTCTTTTCTAAGTGAGTTTGACACCGCTGTTTTAGGTCATATTTATGCAGAAATATAGAAAATTATAAAGGCGTCACAAACTTTCAAGCACCACTGTGTATACCCTCGTCAAACTTCATCGGCGTCTAATAACATTCCAGACTAATTAAATGTTTAAACGATAAAGGAACAATTCTTCACTGTGGATGTAAAACGTTTTTTTTTTTTTTTAATTCTGGAAAGATATCAAACACTTGTCAAAAGTCTTCAATGTTGATATTCCTTTTGATGTGAATCGATGTGTGCTTGGAATCCACCCCGAAGATTTAACACAAATGAAGAAACAAACCAAATTACTGGACTTTGGACTTTACAAGCCAGGAGAGTGGTTTGAAACGTGCAGCGGCTCCCTCAGCTGAACAACGGATAAAGGAACATTCAGACGCATGGGTCTGGAAAGACTAACTTACATTCCCAAAGGAAAACCAAAAGACTTTCTTCAACTCCGGGAACCACATTTGAACAGTGTAGAGGCTGGAAAGGGAACTATGTTTGTGAATATGCACATTCTGAGCTCAGAATGCATTTCATGGATACATAATTGATGCAAGTGTGTGTGAGAGTATCTGTTTTTATTACTGGTTCATTTATAATCTTTGCTGTCAATATCCATTTCAAGTTGTCTGTGATGCACTAAACAAAAACAACAAAAACATTAGAGGGAGAAACGGATAAAAAGCAGAAAAGAAGAAGTTAATCTTGTGTTTTGGCTCCCCCTGCTGGTCAAATGTATAATGACAGACATGAAGCCTGATAAAACCAAATCAAAGTTCAACAACTGTTTATTGTTGCTGCTGCCAATAAAAAGTAATTTCCTGTGTTTATTGTTGCTGCATGACTAACCTGCTGCCTTCAGGGCTGGGCGCACTTCCTGGTACTCAAGGCGATACGTTTTATTCTTGTCAAACACCAAGAAGATGTCCTGAAGAGAGAACAGAAACTGAAGCACACGCTCATCTGGTGTGAAACATCTGGAGTCAAAAGAAGCTTTTCTTTTAAAGCTTGATGATAAAATTTTATGTTTTTTTTTAATCATATTATTACAATAAACGCTGCAAATCTTTTTGAGTAAATTAAATTTATAGTGAAAATATTTAATCAGTTTTTGCTTCTGACATGCACAACAGAGAGCAAACATCCAGGATCCTTCCTTAAGCTGCTCCTGAATTTGTTTTTCTTGCTGCTTCGCCTCCACACTGTGCAGATGTTGTGCTGATGCTGCTCGTACCGTCCACCTCCGGATCTTGTCCCACAGAGTCTGGAACTCAGGCCAGTTCAGCTGAGCGATGCCTTGGCTCTGGGAAAACCCTACGGTTAAGAAAAGTAATCTAACCAAAACTCCAGACGGTCCTTGAACGCAGCACGAAGTCAGTGCAACACTCGGCGTGAGTTTTCTGCTACCTGGCAGGTGATAATGTTTTGGTTTGTTTGTCTGTTAGCAAAAAACTTGCAAGAGATTTCAAATAACGTTAATTTTAAGGTATCATCAGAACAGCTCCAACTCTGTGGTCCTCATAAGATGATGGTTTAAAACGGTCATGAAGTTTGAACAGTTTGTGTCTTATGTAGAGCTCACTGTTAGCTACACACGAGTTAGCATGCTTCAAATACTTTGAATTACGATGAAGTCATGTGTTTTACTGTAGTACTTTGTAAAACAAACCACATCAGCTGTTTTCATTGGCAATGCCTTCTGGGAAAATCTTCTGATTCTGTAAATCAAACACTGATTTTTTTTTTTTTTTTTTTAAAGGATACGTCCATCAGAACCACCAGACTCTTGCAGTGCTCCAGAGCCAAGAATTTCTCACTTCCAGCCAACACTGAACCCAACAGAGAGAGGCAGAAGAGGAGATTTAAAAATAGATTTATCAACTCAACAGACGTCAACTCTGACCCACTGGAACACAAACTTTACACCACCGGGCCGAACATGTCCCCACGAGGACAGAAGGAACAGAACCACATCAAAGAAGCTTTCTAAACCTGTGGATGTCCTAACTGGAGAAAAACAAACATCATCCCAGATGTTGCTGGAGGATGTGAAAAACTCCAAACACAGCATCCTGTTCATTTTAAACCCAACAGGACCCTCAGAGGCTGGTCCATCCCAAGGTCAGAACCCCCAGAGTGAGCGGTGTGGCGTCTGCAGGAACGTTCAGACCTTCATGTCGGAGAAACTCAAGAACCTCTCCACAGATGCATGGATCAACACTGGAGAGACTCAGAGGTCCAAAGACACTCTGCTGAGGACCAACAGGTCCAGATGTTGGACAGAGAGGAGGTGAAAACAACTTTAAACAAAGGAGGAGTTCTCAGATTTTAAACTTCCACACAGCATTCAGCCTGAATCACAGTGAAACCATCTCTCTGCGAGTCGGGCGGACAAAGACCCTGACGGCTCTGGTGGGAAGGGAGATCAATCTACAGGGGACTTTAGCTGCTTAATGGAGCTTTTCATGCAACTCTTGTTTGTTCTGAAACAAAAAAGCTCCCCAACAAGAAGTGCAATGTCTTTAACTCCAAAATAGAAGTTCAGTTTTTTATTTTCTGGATGACAAGACTCTCCACCAGCGTCCTGGTAAGAATCTGTGACTTTCAGCAAACTGACCTCCCTGCTGGATGGCCTCAGTCAGAAGGTGGTAGAGGTGCAGCGGTTTGCAAAATCCTTTCTGCAGACACAAAACAAGAAACATGCAGAACACAGACACACACATACAGTCCTCGTATTTCAGGATTCTTAAGTGCAGTCGGTGGATTCAAGCAGTTATTGCACATAACGTGTGATTTTTATTTTCTAATCCTGCTCAGAGCTGCAGAAAAGCTGTCCTGACGTCCTCCGCCAGCATCTGTGTGCAGGTAAGCCTCACCTTGTTGCAGTGCTTCTTGTACAGAATTCTGATGGATGTAGGAGAAGGAAGAGCTGCCTGGTGAGGAAATGAAGGCTGCAGAAAAAAAAACTGGATTTAGAAATACACTTTTATTCTTCTCCAATTGTCGTGTTTGGGACTGAAACTTCTGAAGTTCTTTTACAGAGAGACACAAATCATAAATTATTAACTTCTGTTTTATGTATGTAGTAACCAGTTGGTAGACCCACTATGTGAAGGCGCCATTTATAAGACTAAGTTTATTGTGGCTCCTCAGACTGATGAAGTCTTCTGGATGAAAGACGAAATGTTTCAACAAAAAAGAAACAGTCTAGAGGACCTGACTTAACGTTGTTGGACCTCTCTAAATAGTCTGGTTGGGATGGGATCTAGCAGACATGTTGATGGTTTGGGTGAAGCTTTTATTTTTGACAATTCAGACAGCTCAACCGGCCAAAAGTAGTCCAAACATAAATCAGGTTCTAGTGACATTTCTAAAGCTACCTCAGCTAACAGGGAATCAGAGGCAATAGTAGGAATGTTGGTTTGAATTTTCTCTCTAATTGAAAAAAATGTATTTATAAAAAATCTCATGAAGTCATCACTGCTTATAGTTGTAGGAATACATGGCTCAACAGAGATGGGACTTTTCATTAGTCTATAGTACTGAACAGAAACTTGGCATTATTTTTAGTTTAATCTATTAAAGATGAATAATATACAGTTCTAGCTTTACGGAGAGCTTTCTTATATGTTAGCAGGCTATCTCTCCAAGTTAAATAAAATTCTTCAACGTTAGCGGAGCAACATTTTCTTTCCAGCTGTCTAGATGTCTGTTTTAAAGTACATAACTCAGATTGAATCAAGGAGCCACCTTCCTCTGATTGTCCAAAAAAGTTCAATCTGGTCCTCTGGACATTCAAAAAAAACAAAAAACAAAACAAAGCAAAAAAATCTAGAAACGTTTCGTCTCTCATCCAAGAGACTTCCTCAGTCTGAGGTGCTGTTTTCAGCTCAGTCTCTTAAATAGCACCTTCACAGAGTGGATCAACCAGTTTGCTGCTGACAACCAAAACCAGCTGATTGATTACTTTCTTTTTCAGCTGAGCTATTTTTTTCAAGTGAAGTTTGCATTTAAGTTGTAAGATTATCAACCAGATCATCCAAGTCACTGCTTTCTACTGCATTACTCTGCAAGATAGAGGAAAACAACAATGGAAGAGTCTTTAAATTTGGTTACAGCATTTTCTGATCGTTCTCAAATTTCTAGACAGAAGAGCGGCTCCATTCAAAGTGGGATGGATGCCATCTCTCCGCATCAGACCAGGTTTTCCCCCAAAAGCACTCCAGTTACTTATGTAGCCCACATTATTTTCAGGACACCACCTGGACAGCCAGGGGCTGAACGACGACATACAACTATAAATGTCGTCGCTGGTCAGGTTGGGGAGGGGACCAGAGAAAACTACTAAGTCCAACATAGTTTTGCAAAGTTACACACTGAAGCCACGTTAATATTAGTGACCTCCAACTGGGTCCCAGCTGCTCAGGGTCTGCTGGAGGACAACTAATGGGAGCTAGTCTCAGTAGCACCGCACTGCCTAAGCATTAGCCAGGTCCCCTTAGGCTAAGGAGACCTGGTTAGCTATTGGTTTTTCAACAGTGTGGAGCTGAGCTTCCAATTCAGACAGCCTCTCCTCCAAAGATACCATAAGAAAACATTTATTACATGTACCATTACCACTAAAGGAGGCAGAGGAATAGCTAAACATATATAACATATTATATATAAATATATTATATAAATACACACATATATATATATATATATTTTTTTTTTTAAGATACACTCTTGCAATATTCTAATCAATGTTTCTAAACAGTAAACACTCTAAAAGGGCACAGCATGTCATGATTTCAGCTCTCTGCCTCCTGCTGCACTCTGCCAGCGCTCTTGGCCACGCCCACTTCTCCGCAGATATGACACGCTGCATGAAGAAGCTTCTCCTGCAGCTGTGGGCTGCACACAGGTGCTAAATAATTTTAAATAATTTATTTTAAATAAAAAATTCATGCTGATCGTGCAGCTCATCCATCAATCAGCCAGTTGCGTGTCATGTCCAATCTTCTTTTGGAAAATCGCGATAGAGCGAGTCCGCGAAAACGAACCGCGAAGCAGCGAGGGACTACTGTAGTTTAAATTTACAGTAAAAACATATTGAACCTTCATTAAAGGAAGTGTTTGCATCTTGTTTGGTTTCTGAGTGGCGTTATTTTGAACCGGACTGAAACAGAGAAATAAAAAGTTGTTTTCCTCTGAACTCTGAATTTGTTTTAACTTCACGAGAATTCATTAAACTTAAAGACAAAAAAAATAATGTAACTGTACCTCTGTTACTGAAGAGATGTCTTGAGCTGGTTTGTGAGCAGGCCTGAAGAAAACATAAATAAACACATTAAAATAACCATATTTAAAGCAACAAATGATGACGATTAAAGATCATTTATTCATTATATGAATTTTTGCGTCTTTATGTTACTTATTCTGCTGTTTAAAAAAATTAGATAACATTTTGGTACATTTACTTTCTAGCTTGGCTTTTGTATCATACAGCTTTTTTATCTTCTAGATGACTATATAATACTTTAGGCTTTTAGCTACGGTATCTTTTAGTTGCTTCAGTTTTGAGTTATCCTTCTGCTACTTTTAGCTGGTAACACTTTACAATGAGGTACACAACATTTGCTTAACTACTAGGGAACGCCTAAGGAACAAATCAGGAGCTAATGGGTAGTTAACCAGTACTTAATGGGGAACACACAGCCTTATTAGGAGACTACTGGTTTGTTACCACAGAAACAGAGGAGAAATTACCCATGTGGGTTCTGAATAAACTCTGCACCAGTGAGGTCACAGCTTATACAAAAACCTGTTTCCTAGTGATTACTGATTTGATTACCCATTAGCTCCTGATTCATTCCTCTTTATTTTCTTTGGTAACTACCCGTTAGTTCTTGATTAGTTAATCTTTGTTTACAAGGTAACTAACCAGTAGTCCCCTAATAAGGCTTGGCTGTGTGTTCCCCATTAAGTACCGGTTAACTACCCATTAGCTCCTCATTCGTTCCTGAGGCGTTCCCTAGTAGTTAATCAAATTTTGTGTATCTTATTGTAAAGTGTTACCTTTTAGCTTTTAACTAACATTTTGCTACTTTTACTTTTTAATAGCCTTTTGCTGTACTTAGTTTATAGCTACTGCTTTCCTACCGTTAGCGTGTCGTTTGCTACACTTAGCGTATTTCTACTTTTAGCTTTTGGTTACTGTTTTGCTAATTTTAGCCTCTAGCTAGCTTTTTGCTACTTCCATTTGTTTTAGCTAGTTCTCTGCATCTTTTAGCCTAAACAGCTTCATTTTAGCTTCTTCATCAAATTTCAGATTGACCAAGTCATTCTGCAGCATCCAACATTGCCTTTTCACAGAAGAAGTTTCGTTTAAAATACATTTTTGAGCTTTGATGTGCGTTTAATTTTTAAAACTGTAAACAAAGTATAAAGCGGAGCCTCGAGCGTATTTTTCCCACTTTTTTCTGCTCTGAGCACGTTTCAACCCAACGTGTGATGCGTGACTCACGTGGCTTCGTTGCCGCGCTCCGTCAGGACCCGCAGGAGGAACTCGGCCTGCTGGTTGGGCTCCGACGTGGACGGGATGATGATGTAGCGACCCGGAGCGAGCGAGCCGCGCAGAACCACCTCCCGACGCGAGGAGTACTGATGCTGCAGGACCGGGTGGAGCACGCTCAGGTCGTCAGGCGACAGGTGCGTGTTCTGAGGGTGAGCCTGGAGACACAAACACCTACTGAGCTCGTTTCTGTTGCAACACGGAGCGTGGGAGGATTTTTCATGTCGCTCAGACTCTGAGGCGTCTAAAGAAAATCTGCTTTGAACAATCGGTCATGAAGAACGATCAAGTGGAGAGAGGCAGGAGGCGCTGACACAAATGTGTTTTGTTCTTTAGGCACAAGTTCTCTGATAGTTATTAAGTCAGAAGTGCTTTCTTCCTTGTTTCACAGCAGTATTTTGACACGAGGGGGCAGTGTTTGTGGTACGTCTGAGTGGGTGCGGTGGTATGAACACCTGAGATCCAGGAAAGGAAGAACCTACTTTACTCAGGTAAGCACCGGGCGGCCGTCCTTGCTCCCAGACAGTCAGAGTAAAACTAAAGAAGTGTTTTCTGCTTCACAGCTTTTCTCTGCTGTCCTCTTGTTTACCTGAAGGTAACAAACTTGTTTTATGTTTTACGTATAAATTAGATTAACTGAAGAATTTACAGACTTCACAGATAACGAACGAGTTACTGTAACTTTAGTTTGCTTTCATAATGGTTGAAATTGGGCTTATGGAACGCAGATTAACCTGAAAAGTTCATTTGATGTGATCAACTATTTTTTTTAAGGTTATCAACTTGTTCAACATCTTAATCCTGCTCGTTGTCTCAGTCCTGTTCAGTAATCTGTAATAACCTGATCAATAACAATAAACGATGGAGGGAGTTGGTCAGAGTCCCGTTGAACACGGCCTTACTGAGTTTAAAGCGTTGAAGGAAAAACCAAAACAGCGTGACAATTATTATGTTTTAAGGCTTCACTTCACTTCAGCGAGATTCTTGTCCTGCAGTTTTCAACTTATTTCAACAAATGTTTCAGCTCTTTCAGGTCAATCCTGCTGTGACTTTTGGTATTGGTGCAACTTTAGCTTTTTGAAATATTTACCCTTTTCTGCCATTTTTTTTTTCCTCACAGAAAATGAACCGAGCTCATTTTACATCCTTCAAATCTTTAGATGTGTTTACAACCTTTTACTGCTCCTTTCACATTTTGTTCTGGTTCAGCTTCTTTGTGCAAATTAACTTTTTTCAGCTACTTTCATAAAATTTCAGCTGTTTTTGTGCTCCTTTCAGATTTTCCTGCTAAATACAACATGTCTGTGCTTCTTTAACTTCTTTCTGATAATTTCAGCTTGTTATGATCCTTTCAGCTTATATCTGCAAGTTTCAGCTTTTTCTTCTCTTCAGCTGTTTTTATGCAATTTATAGCTTTTCCAGCCAATTTCACATATTTTTAGCTCATTTCAGCTCTATCCATTTCCTTCTGGTATTTCAGCTTCTTTCTGCCTTTTCAGCTATCTTTAACTAATTTCAGCCTTTTTTTTTTTTACTAATTTCTTAAATTTTGTGCTAATTTCTGCTAATTTAAACATATTTCAGCAAATATGTGTTTTTTCTGCTTTCTTCTACCATTTTAGGCTTGTTCTTCCATTTCAGCATTTTTTAAAGATAATTTCAGCTGTTTTTCAGCAGGTTCTTCTGCAACAAGCATTCACATTGCATTTTCGCAGGAAATGAAATTTCTTTAGTTTTAAATTAATTTTGTTCTGTGCGTTGAACAGAAGCCCTGAACAGGGATTAGAACCCTGACCCACAGATTAAAGGTCCGATGCTGCATCCAGACCCTGTCGGTCCTGTATGTTGAAATCTAGACTGACTCAGCCCTCGGATGTTTGCTGTCGGGGCATTTTCCAGGGTCAGTACCGGTTATGTGTCAGTACCGGTTATGTGTCAGTACTGGGTCAGTAACGGTTATGTGTCAGTACCGGGTCAGTAACGGTTATGTGTCAGTACCGGGTCAGTAACGGTTATGTGTCAGTACTGGGTCAGTAACGGTTATGTGTCAGTACCGGGTCAGTAACGGTTTTGTCTCAGTACTGGGTCAGTAACGGTTATGTGTCAGTACCGGGTCAGTAACGGTTTTGTCTCAGTACCGGGTCAGTAACGGTTATGTGTCAGTACCGGGTCAGTAACGGTTATGCGTCAGTACCGGGTCAGTAACGGTTATGTGTCAGTACCGGGTAAACGTGCAGGCCGATGTTGAGGTGAACACCTCTGCGCCTCTGGTACTTCTGCATCAGAGCCAAAACGAAGGAGCACGTCTTCTGGGTGTTGCTGGGGTTGTTGTCCACCTCCGACAGGACAAAAAGGAACTGGGGGTTCTGCCAGAACAAGCCTGCAGAACCAGAGCACACATTTTCACAGGACTGTAATCTCCGACATCGTTTCATCTCATTTGCTCACATACGGGTCCAGCCCCCGAACGTCTCCTGCTGAGCTCCGTCACCCGTCAGACTCCTCCAGTTCAACGTTTCAGCTCAAGTTTTGAGTCAATCACGGCTTTTTTTTTAAAATCTGTCATTCTAATTTTCCAAACTGATGAAAGCCGAGGACACATTTTTGTTAAATACTGCAGAGTCAGCATATAATGCAATCATGCACAGCTAGCACTGTTAGCAAAATATCTCATGAACCACTTGAACAAATCCTTCAGGAAATTATTATCATGATCTACAACCGATTACCTCGATGGCCGCCACAGACATTAGAAAACACCAAACTGACTATAACTCATTAATTTTTACAGATACTGAGCTAAATTTTGGTAATATCTGAGTCGTTCACAACATGTACTCTGAGTGTAATCATGGCGCAGTCAACCCTGTCTGTTAGCAAAATATCTCACGAGCCACTGGACGAATTCTATCGAAACTTGAGAAAGTCATTGAATGGACTGGATTCTACTGAAGATTAACTTTTGGAGCCGATCTAACTCAAGATGGCTGCCACAACTAAGAGCCCTGTAGGTTTTACAGATATTGAACTTGATTCTGGAGTGGTGGTAGCTGAGAGTCATCTCTAACATACTTTGAGTGCGAACAGATCTCATGAGACTGATCACAAGTCTGCAGCTGAAACAGCTAAAACCCTGTCCCTTGATCTACAGCAACATAAAATAAATATCTTTATTGTGTGAATGTTTATGAAACATTCACTCTCCTGCGAGCCATTTTTCTTCTGTATGTTTTTCAGAGTGATTCTCTTCCTACAGTTTTCAAGCTATTTCAATTTAATTTATTTATAAAGCGCCAAATCACAACAAAGTTGTCTCGGGGCACTTCAACAAATCATAAATCAAAACATTCAGCTCGTTTAAGAGAAGGGTGCCATGAGTTTTGGTATCGATGCAACTTTAGCTTTTTGAAAGATTTATCCATCCATCCATCCATCCATCCATCCATTCATCCATCATCTTTTACCCGCTTCTTCCATTTTGGGTCACGGGGGTCGCCGGTGCCCATGTCCGTCAATCACTGTGTGAGGGGCGGGGGACACCCTGGACAGGTCTCCAGTCCATCACAGGGACACATAGAGACAAACAACCATCCACTCTCTCATCACTTCTAGGAACAATTTAGAGTTACAATGAGTCTAACATGCATGTTTTTGGTCTGTGGGAGGAAAATGAAGTACCCGGAGAAAACCCACGCATGCACAGAGAGAACATGCAAACTCCACACAGAAAGACCCCCGGACCGGGATTTGAACCAGGGACCTGCTCGCTGAGAGGCAGCAGCTCTAGATCTTTTTACAACCTTTTGCTGCTCCTTTCACATTTTGTTCTGCTACAGCTGCAGCTTCCTTGTGCAAATTTAAACTTTTTTCCAGCTACTTTCAGCTTTTTTTTTTCTGCTGTTTTGTGCTTCTTCCAGATTCTTTCTGCTAATTTTAGCTTGTTATGCTATTTGAGCTACTATTTAGGTGTTTTATAATAATTTTAGCTTTTTAGGTCAATTCCACATTTATTTCAACTTTTTTCAGCCCAGTTCGGCAAAAATGTGCTCTCACTACTTGCTTCTGGTAATTTAAGCTTTTTTTCCGCTTTTATAGCTACTTTTCAACATTTTGTTTAGCTGATTTCAGCTTTTTCCAGAGAATTTCCACATTTTTGTGCTCAGCTCTGCTTCTTTCAGCCTAAGAGTAAGATTGTACTCACGCCACTTCCTTCCGATTATATAAGCTTGTTCTACATTTGCAGCTAACATTTTAGCATTTTTTTGCTAATTTCAGCCGTTTTCAGATAAATTGAAATTTTTTGTGGTAATTTCTGCTACTTTCAGCCTAACTAACTTCTTTCTGTTGATTTCAGCTCGTTATGTTCCTTTCAGCTTATTTCTGCTAGTTTCAGCCTTTTCCTGCAATTTCCAGCTACCCTTTAGCTGTTTTGTGCTAAATAACTTTTTCAGCTAACGCCACAATTTTTAGCTAATTTCAGCTCCTTCCACTTCCTTCTGGTAGCTTAAGCTCTTTTCTGCCTTTTCAGCTACTTTTCAGCTTTACTGTTGCTAATTTCAGCTTTTTTTTTAAAGCTAATTTACTAATTTTTGTGCCAATTTCTGCTTACACTATTTAATTAGCAAATATGTGTTTCTGTCTTCTTCTGCCAACTGAAGCTTGTTCTTCCATTTCAGCTACATTTCAGCATGTTTGTAGCTAATTTCAGCTGTTTTTTAGCAAGTTATTCAGTATTCACTTTGTTCTCTAGTTTTTGTTCAAATCCTGTGCACGATGTTTAAAGTCTAAATCGGTTTTTATCTTCATTCTGCATCAAACTGCCTCACTGCTGCACCAACAGCTGCACAGACCACAGGTGTGCAAATCAAGCTGATGTTGGATTAAACAGTCGGTTTAAAACAGCAGCAGTCTCTGGAAGTTTAATAAAACGTCTTCAGTAAAAGCCAGAACATGTTCGCGAGCACACGCTGCCCTCTGACCAGAACATTTCCGACACAAAAGGAGAAAAAGAAACACGTCGACTTGGATCAGAGCCTCTGGTCGTCGCTTACTTGCAGATTCGGTCGTTGCCACAACCTCCCACCCGTCACGGATCTTACCGCTGAGAGGAAATCCTCCCGCCGTGATGCTCGGCACCCAGGTCCCGTGATGCAAGACGCAGCTCCACGGCTGCTCGCCGGAGCCGGGCTCGCTCAGGCCGTCCGTCAGGTGGCACACCTCCATCACCTCAAAGTGCAGCTGGAAGTCCGACGCCGACATCCTGACGGAGGCAGAACCACGTGAGCCGAGCGACCAGAACCAGCCGTCGCCGATGTGCACGTTCATCGCGTGAACGCCGAGTCGGCGTTTAGTTTCCCTCTTTCAAGTTTCTTCTGTTTGTTTATTTTTTGTTATAAAATACTTCTGCATACTTTATGCTATATTTTAACCATCGTAATTTCTGGACTACAAGCCACTACTTTTTCCACACGCGTTGAACGCTGCGGCTAATTCATATTTTTTTTTGATGGGCTAACGAGCTTCCTGCCACCAAAACATTCAGCCTCGTCACACTCGTGCTCACATAGCTGCCCAATACACGTCTCTCTCGGGGGGTGGGTCCTCGTGACTCAATGACACTACCTGTATAAATAAAGGTTTAAAAAATCTGACCAGTTAAATTAGCGAACAGGTCACAGTGGAGCAGTGAAACGGGGAAGGGGTCCCCTGCATGTGCAGAGCAACTTTTGCTCAAGTCTGCCCGTGGATCAGTGGAGCAGGAGGACAATGAAGATCGTGATTAATGACTTCCTGGTAGGCTACTGCATTTTTTATTTTTTTGTAACCAGTCGTGTTACAGGCACTGTTCAGAAAGAACTGTACGTATTTGTGTGTTACCGGTACATATTTAAAAGTTTTAAAAACTCCTGTGTAAATATCTCACGTTACAACATGCACACCTGCGACTTATAGACAAACGCGGCCTATTTATGTACAAAATTATTATTTTTTATTTAGTGGGCACGACTTATATTCGATTGCGCTCAATAGTCCGGAAATTACAGTATTTATAAATTAAAATGTTCAGCTCAGTTAAGTGTGCTGTGACTTTTAGCATGTGCAACTTTGATACTTTTCAGAATATTAAAAAAAATAATAATAATAGAAATCCCCTAAACACATTCATTCAACCTTTATTTACACAGGTTAGTCTCATTGAGCCTCGAGGACTCGTTTACAAGAGACACGTGATTTAAACAAAGAACACAGACGACACAACAATAAACAATCACATAAAAGAATGTAAAACCAAGAGTAAATAGAAATGATTTAAAAATAAACAAAAACAGCTACTTTATAAAGCGATGTAAAATAATAAATACATAGTAAAATAGTAAAAAAAAAAAAAAAAGAGAGAGAAAAAATAAAATAAGAAAAAATAATTTAAAAAATAAACATGGAGCATGCTTCGTTCTCATGAAACATGCTTCAGGGTACTGGCTCTAGTAGCTTTTAGCTAATGTTGTGCTACTTTTAGCAACCCTTCTGCTGTGTTTAGCTACTATCTTGCTGATTTTACATTTAGTATCTTTTTAACAACTTTTAGCTACTGCTTTGTTCATTTTAGCTTTAGCATCTGCTTTTCTACTTTCACCTAGTTTGGCTGTTCTTGGCAGCTTAAGCTTCTGTTCTGCTGCTTTACTTTCAGCTTGTGTTTTGCTCACTGCACCCTCTGCTCATATGAGCATCTACTTTCCTTTTTTAACCTTACTAACTCACTGTAGCTTCTATAGCAAGTTTTAGCAGTCGTTCAGCTCTCGGTAATTTCCCTTCAGACCGTTGAATGTCTCGGCGTGTGTGCACAAAGGTGAGCTTCAGATTTGTTGCTACACCGCTCCGTTTCTTCTCTCTGTGTTTCTATGAAACTAAAGCTTGTGAGCAAACGGACAGTTTGGGCATAGATCGGGTTATTCAACTGGCGGCCCGGGGGCCAAATTAGGCCCACGGATGAACTCAGTTCGGCCCACCTATAGGTTCATTTTAAATAAAACTAGATTTGAAACCATAAAGCAAACTAACTTAATGACAATAACTGCTGGATGTCCGGCCCCTGAGCTCTTGGCTTGTAACTGTGGCCCCCTGAGAAATTTTTCTGAATAGCCCTGGCATAGAGTCGGAGGCAGCAGATGTTTGCAGCTGCTGAAAACTCACCAGAACTCCCCGTCCTCCTGGCGGACTCTGCCGAGACGTCTCTGCTCCTCTTCGCTCACCGTGCTCCACTCCGGACTGAAACACGACAAAAAGAAAGACGTCTGTGTTTAAAGCAGGTGAATTTATTATATCTGGTGAAGCTTTTGTGGCTCCCTCAGTACCGCCACTTCAAATTCACCACAGTTCTTCGTAACGCGTGATCAAACAGTTGACTCCAAGTCAGAGTAAAACCTTGTTGCCTTCTTGAATGTAGTTACTTTGATTGGTGTAGAAGGCAGTCAGATGTATGGTGGTCATGAAATTTGTTCTGGTTCTGATGCAGGAACACCAGAGACACAGAGGGGTTCCCCTCTGTCAGCTGCTGATCCGGTTAATGACCCGGTAAAATGACCAGACGGCAAACATCCGTGTGTTGCGTCAGTTTAAGAAAATTCAAACATAAAAGATGAACAGATTCTCTTTCTGCTTTTTGCCTCAGAGCCTGCAAGGCGCAGTTGACGGAGCATCCCTTTGAATCTGAGGGTCTGGGTTCAAGGCCCCGTTCAGGTGTGGTTTTATTTGACTCGAGTAATGGTTTGAAATGTGACCATTTTAACTATATTTGCAAAAAAATACTGTTAATGAAGGAAAAGCAGCCGTCTTGATTTGGATCGATCCCAGAACTGAGTTGAAGCAGAACAACTGGTTCTCAAACATTTCACCTGGTAAAGTAAAGGTCAAATAAAACAATAAAATAAAACACAGACAAAAAAGATTAAGCTCATTCCGATACTTCCACCGTGTGCACCAACCTGCTTGAGTCACTCCAGGGCCCGATCCACTCTGTGTTGCCCCACGGGTTGAGGATCCGCACCAAATCTACAACTCCATGTGTCGTCTTCACCTGACAGAGGAAACAAAAACAGGATGAACCAGGTGAGCGCAGCATGAGAAGAACTGGTCTTATCAGCATCATTTATAGAACATAGGAGGATCTGCAGTGGAAGTGGTCTCCAGCTACAAGTACTTGGGTGTGCACCTGAATGACAACCTCAGCTGGAGCAACAACACCACCAGCCTGATCAAGAAAGCTCATCAGAGACTCTACTTCCTCAGACGGCTGAGAAGAGCTGGTCTGGGAAGCTCAGTCCTCACCTCCTTCTACAGGTCTGCAGTGGAGAGCATCCTGTGTATTCCTGTGCAGGAAGAGGGCCACCTGCATCATGAAGGACCCCACTCACCCAGCACACACACTTTTTGCCCCACTCCCCTCAGGAAGGAGGTTGAGGAGCATTAAGTGTAGAACCACTAGACTGAGGAACAGCTTCTACCCTGAGGCTGTTAGACTCATGAATCTCTAACCAGAATAATCACTGTGAAAAATCACATCATGTTGCTGCTGATCTGTTTCAATGTTGCTGCTGATCTGTTTCATGTTGCTGCTGATCTGTTTCATGTTGCTGCTGATCTGTTTCAATGTTGCTGCTGATCTGTTTCATGTTGCTGCTGATCTGTTTCAATGTTGCTGCTGATCTGTTTCATGTTGCTGTTGATCTGTTTCATGTTGCTGCTGATCCGTTTCATGTTGCTGTGTTCATTCGTGCTCATCTGCTCACACAGACTCATGTTCATGCTGCTGTTCAACGTATTGTTTCTGTACTACTAGTGCTTAGTGTATATTTAGGGGGCTGAGATGGTGCAGAGGCAGGGCAGCCGACTTGGGACGTGAAAGTCCTAGGTTCAATCCCCGGTCACTGCATACCTTGTGGTGTCTCTGGGCAGCACACCTTATCCCCAAAATGCCCCCCAGGCACCTTCAATAGCTGCCCACTGCACCACCTGGTGGTGGATGGGTTAAATGCAGAGACTAATTTCGCCATTGTATGGAAACATACAGTGATGACATTATTATTATTATAATATTTAGTTAATGGTTTTTTTAGTTCAAATCTTAGATCTTATTACTGTTCCATCTCATGTAGCACATGTGGTGCGAATGACAAAGAAAGTTTGACTGTGACTTTGTGGCAGTGGGAGACACTAATTCACATTTAAACACAAACTTTGACTTCAAACTTGATCATTAAAGCCCGTACAGGAACTGTTCCCATGCTGCCAAATCTGTAATGAATGTCTTTAGGGACAAGTACCTTCTTGATTGCCGTCAGGGAGTAGGCATGTCTGAACATGATCCCCAGTTCATTCATCTGCTCCAGAGGACCCTGAAGAGGAGAAAACATCCACCCATGTTACCGACAACTAACAAATGGTCAAAGATGTCACCTTTAGCTTCAAAGTCAGTTTATCACATTTAGACATGAAAACGTACCTCAGTACAGCGTTTATTCACTTTCTGCATTTAATTTATAAAATAGATGATCTTCAGGTGATGCAGTTTAATCTTAACCCTAAACAACATCTCACTATCCACAGCTTGGGTTCCAGCTTGTTTCAAGGACGTCACAGTTGTTCCTGTTCCAAACAGACTAATGTAACTGTCTGAATGATTAGAGGCCTGCGGCTCTTACTTTACCTAAATGTTTGGAGACTGGTTACTAAACATGTCAAAAATTAAAAGAGAACAAGCCCGCTGACACCGCTTCCTTTGTGTTCTGTACAATACAACAACATCTAGAGCAGGGCTATTCAACTGACGGCCCGGGGGCCAAATCAGGCCCACCGGTTCGGCTCACCAATGAGTTCATTTTTAAATACAACTAGATTTTTAACCGTAAAACAAAGTTATTTAATGATAATAACTATCTGGTCCTGAGCTCTTTGGCTTTCAGTAACTGTGGCCCCTTGAGCAATTTTGTTGAATAGTCCTGATCTAGAGAATAAAAACACATACGCCAGGCTTCCATTTGTTGCCTTCATTTACCAAGTAAATTTAATATTATTATCAATAATAATTTAATACTACAGCATTTAATAATATTCAGTGCCCCCCCCACCCCCCCCACACACACACACACAAAAAAAACCGCATAAAAACTGGTTTCTCTGAATACTGGACTTCCTGGCAAAGTGCTCACAGTGTGTCACAGTTGGTATCCTTCACTACACCATTACATTTGGTGCACCACAGGGATGTGTGCTTGGGGCCCATTATTGTACACAATATCTACCCATGACTTCTCAGCCTGTTTCTAGTCTAATCCTATTATTAACTTTGCAGATGACTCTCGCTCTCTCTGGATCTCTGACACCACATCTTCTCAAAATTAACAAGAGGCAGAAAATAGGAAGGAGGTTTTTATGAAACGGTGTTTGCATAAATCATTATGAAACTTTGGAGATTGGAGTTGTTCTCAAATGACAGCAATCCACTTTGGTCTTAGCTGTTAGCTCATCAATCCAAGCAATCTCTGTTCCTTCAAAGTGAGGTAGATCTCCGAGAAGTTTGAGGTACTGATGAGCAGCGAACACAAATAAAACCTCAGCCAGACTGAACCTGCGTTGTTGATCTCCCAGGTCAAAAGATCAAAAAACCTCCACTAGCCGTACCTTGTTGTTGGCACAGTTGATGAGTGCTCCTTTGGCCAAGAGGTGTCCAAGGAGGTCGGGGAGGTTTTTGGACAAGGCGATGTTAAAAACTTCAGCCACTCCACCAGTCATGTCCACCATGGCTTCATGAGGGTAACCCATATCCAGAGCTCTATAACCTCCTTTCAGCCTGGACACAACACCAACAAACAACAACAACAGAGAAAACAACATTTTTATTTAACAACAAATCTCACTCCATTCTGCAATCACTCAAGAACGAGGAAACTGAAATAGCTCAACTCATTCTTCCTTTTCTCATCTCGTCTAATCCTATCCTATCTCATCATGTCTGATCTCGTCTCATCTCATCCTAACCTACTCACCCTATCTCACTTATCTCATTTTCTTTAATCTTGTCTCAATGTATCATATCTCATCTTGTCTCATCTCATTTAATCTCATCCTATCCTATATAAACTCATCCCAGAGTATCCTAGCTCATATTCTAACCTCATCTCATCCTATCACCTTATCATTTTTTTATGTAACTGCACTGCTTTAAGAACAAACCCTTCTTGTTCCGTCTTGAGTAATCTAATGGCGTTAAAAAAAATAATGTGCCTCATTTTGCCCTCAAACGTTCCCACACCGACAGATTCTTACTTGGCGTACGCCTTCTCCAGCAGTGAGCTCCAGAACTCTTGTCTTTCAGGGGAGCTGAGGTAAACCAGCTTGTTGCCATTCGTTGGCAGCAAATCATCGATCCTCACCTCCTCCCACTGCCCGTACTGCCAGAACTGCGCACAGGGACGTCTTCGTCACAGGATTGTTCTCATTTAAAAAAAGTCAGGACTTTTTTAAACGGTCATCAAATACAAAATGTTACACATCAAGAAATGACGCAATCATTCATGGTTTGGTGGATATGTACTCTGAAGGTGAAGCTGCCGTTGTAACCATCCTGGAAGCTCTGATTCAGAGGCACGACCTTCTGGAGCAGCGATGGATGCACCGCCAGAGACGCTATAGCAGAGAGTACCCAGCAGTCACCTGCAGAGGACAGGTAACACCGTCAGGTTAAAGTCAGCCATAGGAAGTTTTGCTGTTTCCTTTTTAATCAACAGATTGGGCCTAAACTGGGACTTGGACACGTGCACTAAAAGAGCACAGTTTGCCTCCATCATTTAAAGTGGCTCAAGACAAACATGGAGTAAAATGTTCCCACAGTACAATTATTGTCATTTCACAGCTTTCTTTCTTTATAAAACCAGTAATTTTTACAGTTTATAAAACCGTTTTAGTTTTATAGTTTAATGAGCTTAACGTTATTGTTTATGAATAATCTGACGCTGACACAGTGAGGGCACAGTTATTTAATTAATTTGACGCTGATGAGGGAATATACAAGACAAAACAACCTGAGGGGTTTCAAGGCAGAGCTGAAGCACAGCAGAGAGGGAGGAGACGTTTATTAGCCTTCGCTGCCCGCATCGTGTAAGGGTGGGTTATAAAAACGGACATACTGAGTTTCCCCTGGCAGATGTCGAGTCGTGAAGCTCCATCGATGATGAACTGAGGCGAGGAGCAGAGCTCCTGGACACCACAGAGGGTTTCGTCAGCAGGTGAAAGGAATAACATGCAAACAATTAATCAAACAAGAAAAAAAAGAAGTGTATTTAAACAAAAAGGCTCCAAAATTACATACAAATCAATTAATTTAGAGTCATCAGAACAGTGCATTGTATATTTATGATACTAGTATTACCCAAAAGCCTGCGTCAAAGAAATAATCAACAAATCCCTAAATATGTCAACTTCTAGTCAGTCTGTAAACAGTGACACATCATTTTCTATGAAAATGTATAATTTCTGGGAATCAGATGAAACTTGTTAAATTCAGTCGTGCAGCCGTATTTTCACACAACGAATCTCGCAGAAATAACTCCTGAGCTGCACAAAGGACAGTTAATCCTTGTGACGTCTCGTGTTTTCACTGCAGCTTTGACTTCTGCTTGAATCCCACGACACCAGAAACAATTTGCAGTTCATCTCAGAATGTGGTCCGTTCTCTGAAGCAAACCTTCCTTTCAGGTTCAAACAGGTCTTGATACAGATCCCAGAAAGACCCGAGTCCTTTCTGAGAATCTGACGCTGCTCGTAGGACTCCGGTGATTTAACAATAAGGCAATGAGACAAGAGGAACAAAGTCCTTTCTTTTAGGTCATAAAATAAGAAGAAGCCAGTGAAAGCAGAGCTCTTGACCTTGAATATGAAACTAACAGCAGCGTTTTGAGCTAACGGATGTTCAACCGTTCACAGCTTCAGCTCAGAACCTGCAGCCTGAACGTCTGCAGAAATGAAGGACGTGGACTCTGAGCTATCACCAGCTGAAAAAACACCAGTTAAAACCCTAAAAGATTAAACTTCTTTGTTCCTGTATTTTTTTCAAGCAGTTTTGAATAATGGACTGGGGTAGTGGAGTTTTTTTTAATTTATTTTAAGCACTGTGTTTTCATGCTTTCACACAAAAAAATACATTTTATTTTTCTGTATCTATAATGAAATGCTAATGATTACTCAGCTTGAAGTACAGCAGTATTTTAGCACCATTGTATACCTGGATTATTGAGCATGGACTTTGTTGTTTTCAACCAGTTTGACAAGACTGTCAACAAGGAAGAGGGCCGGCAATGGAGGAGGGGGCGCACCAAAGAGACCATCTTATCACAAGCAGAACTGGTTTGTTCCACTTTTGAGTAAGCTGTTGGAGGAAGAATCATTTTGTTGTGTGTTTCCTCGACTGATGAAGCCTTCTGGATCGAAGGCGAAACGTTTCAGCACAAAAAAAAGAAACTGTCCAGATGACCTGACTGAAAAATGTTGGATTGTATACCTGGATTATTGAGCATGGACTTTGTTGTCACCAACAGGATGGTTTCCAAAGAGCGATACATTGAACATTAGGTTCAGTGGTTGCAGAGGTTGAGGAGCATTAAGTGTACATGCACTAGACTGAGGAACAGCTTCTACCCTGAAGCTGTTAGACTCATGAATCTCTAACCAGGATTATCACTGTAATGCCACTTTGATCGTCGATATGTTGCTGCTGCTGATCCATGCTGCTGATCTCATGCTGCTGATCATTTCATGCTGCTGTATTCATTTGTACTCCTCTGCTCACACAGACTCATGTTCGTGCTGCTGTTGTTCAGCGTATTGTTTTGCACTGTTAGTGTTTAGCGTATTCTTAGTTTGTATCTTAGATCTTATTACTTTTTCTTTATAATTTATATTTTTGCTGTTGTTGGATGTAACTGGGACCCTGTGTGCACAATTTCCTTCCACCTCGTGTACCACATGTGATGCGAATGATAATAAATAACCTTGAACTTGAATTAGAGCAGCTGCAGGACGGTGCATCTCTCAGGTCTTTCCTGTTTCTTAAAAGTGTGACTTTCAAATAATACCCAGAGTTCTTTAGGCCTGACGTCCTTCCTTTGTCCTCCACTTTCCTCAGAAACAAAAAGCAGATTTCTGCCACAACTTCCAGTTAACTGGACTGAAACAGAGTGAAAAGAACCCCCAAAGCCTAAAGAAATACCGTCTGCAGAGCAGAGTGTTCGTAGCTTGAAAAGCAGTTTTCTTACTAACGTCTTTGTTTTGGTAACTTGGACTCTACTTTCACTAGTTTTAGAGACAATCAGGACAAAACGAAAACCATATACAAAACTGCAAAAAAAAAAAATGGTTAAATCGTGTCATCTGGACCAGTTTCTTTAAGTGAGAAACCTTTTTCTGAACCACTTTGGCCTTGGTTGTCCTCAGGCTGTTTCTGTGAATAGCAAGTCCTGGCCTAAAACATTGGATTCTTGTACATGATGATGGTTTTGCACGTGTTAAAAGATTACGACTGAGATTACAACAGGACGTTGGCTTGAAACACAGCAGTGTGGGACAGGTCTGGTCCGTAGACTGAAGAAGTCCTCTGGATGCAGGACTAAACATTTCTCTTAAAGAAACTGGTCCAGATGACACGATTTAACCTTTTTTGTTGTTCTCTACCTGGACGATTGAGCTTACAACACTTTTTCGTACACAAAACTGTTCTTTACTCTTCATTTACTTTGATTAAACTGCATCAGAAACTTGAGTAAATGCTAAATTAACAAACTTATAAACACGGATTAACTCCAAGAACATGTTTGAGCACATGCCCGACAAGTTCAAGTGGGATTTGGTTTCTGTCTACGAACCTGAAAACCGTTGGGAAGGGTAAAAATAATTAACCCTCTGTTGGTCACGAGGCGCAAACTCTCCAGAGGTGCCGAACCTCTGCCAGTGTAGTTGGTGTTCACGTCGTTAGACTGGTTCCTTACTGAATTCAGTGTGTGGGATTGTTCAACAAAAACCTTCAGAGCTCTTCGTTTGCTTTAGTCTCACACGACAAGTCTTCTTGAATGTGACTTTTATCGATAAACAATGTTTTTTTATTTTATTTTATCAAAAGGTAATGCTCATATTTCATCAGCTAAACAAAACAAGACTCCGTTTTGTTGTTTGAATCTTGCGTTTCTTCTGCAGATGAAGCGCTACCAGGCTGGAACGTATGCGCCCTGGTGGTGTCTGCAAAGAATAATCTCACACTCAGCACTTTTTAAACATAAAAATAGTTCATTTTTCTCTTTCAGGCTCTCGCTCTTTTTAAAAACACCCAGCTTCTGTTTCCACTCAGTCCATTTTGTGCTATCGAGCCACAGAATCGTTTTGACTCGAACGTTTGGAAAAATGTGACGATAATAAAACTGAATTGAACTCTTGTAACAATCAACTGTGCGACGTGAACGTGGATCTAACAATACTGAATCAAACTTTAACTTTAACTTTGTTAAATCTCTGCAAGACTGTTGATATGAAGATTTTAAAGTTACAAAAATCACTTTCAAATTCAGAATTAAATTCACAATCTTGCTTCTAACCTACAAAGCTCTCAACAACCTAGCTCCATCTCGTTCTACAGATCTTATTGTTCCACATTTTTCTAACGGAGCACTTCACTCTCAGACTGAAGGTTTACTTGTGGTTCCTAGAGTTTGCAAAAGTAGAAGGGGAGGCAGGTCCTTCAGTTCTCAGGCTCCTCTCTTGTGGAACCAACTTCCAGTTTCTGTCCATGAGGCTGACACATTGTCCAGTTTTAAGACTGGGCTTAAGACTGTCTTTTTTCACAAATCCTATAGTTAGGGTTGGTTTGGGTTTCCTGAGCTATCCTTTAGTTATGCTGCTATAGGCTTATACTGCTGGAGGACAAACTGACCACATGTCGTCTCTCTGCCGCTGTCTTTACTTGCTCTATTCTACTTGTTTGTATTTGTAATTATTTCTATCTTAATGTTTTTTTGGTCTGTCCTCCTATAGGAAGTTCACCTGGACCTGTCATTCTGTGTTTGTTTCTACTTCCTGTCCTCTCAAACCCAGAAGTCAAAGCAGCGTCCTGAGCCTGGTTCTGCTGGAGGTTTAAAAGGGAGTTTTTCCTTCCCACCGTCTCCTTTGTGCTCGCTCAGGATGGGAGACTGTGACAAAGTGCAGATTCAACACAATCTGCTGCTTCTTTACATAGAAAACTTTTACTAATTGGATTTTTTTTTAATGTACGTGAATGGGTGGCGCAACTGGTAGAGCTGCTGCCTCTCAGCAAGCAGGTCCCTGGTTCAAATCCCGGTCCGGGGAGTTTGCATGTTCTCTCCGTGCATGCGTGGGTTTTCTCCAGGTGCTCCAGTTTCCTCCCACAGACTAAAAACATGCACGTTAGACTGATTGGTAACTCTGAATTGTCCCTAGGTGTGAGAGAGAGAGTGGATGGTTGTTTGTCTCGTTTGTCTCTATGTGTCCCTGTGATGGACTGGAGACCTGTCCAGGGTGTCCCCCGCCCCTCACACAGTGATTGCTGGACATGGGCACCGGCGACCCCCGTGACCCAAAATGGAAGAAGCGGGTAAAAGATGATGGATGGATGTGAATGTTTTTAGTGTCCTGAGATGACCTCTGTTGGGATTTGGATCTATGAAATAAACTGAATGGTCTTATTTGAGCCTTTGTGGGTCTTTTTTGACCCAAAGGCTGCAGGAGGGTTAAATGATCCTATTGAATCAAATGAAGTGAAAATGTTTGCTCAGTGTAAATTAGATCATGTGGAAAACCATTTATATGAAACATTAAAGTGTTTTTTTTTGTCTCATACTATTTAATATCTGTGAGGCATTCTGAGTTCTTGTTTTTTAACCTGCACCCCTCTTTCAATAGTTATTAACTCCTTAGATAAAGAACTTTACTAGTTGGCTTCTATGTGTGTGAATGTTTCTGTAAAGTGCCCTGAGACAACTTTGTGGTGATTTGGCGCCACATAAATAAAGTGAACTGAATTATTTATTTATTTTACCTTTGGTCGTTTCCACCTGACCCCGGACTGCATCTCCAGCTCCCCCACCGGGAAGCGGTAATCCACGAAGAGTCCGTCCCGGCCCACCGGGCTCACGTCCCCGCTCTGAGAGGGCCTGTCGGCGGCCAGCAGGTCCAGCAGCCAGCGGCGGGACTGGGAGCCCATCAGCTCGTCCGAGTCCACCTCATCGGTGTCCGGCGGGACCACGGGGTCTTCAGAGGTCGTTATCATGACAGAGCCGCGGACCGAGTCCCGTCCTGTTCTCCACCTGACTGCACCAGGTAACTCAGGCCGTGAGGCCACGCCCACCGGGAAGAGCCGCTCACCTTGACTGAAGGTGCGGCTCCTCGTGTTCACACGGTTTACTTCATTGTTCACTGTTATGGCTGAATTTCTATAGATTTAGTTCCTTTAGCTTCACTTCAGGTGAATAAAATGTAAAGGTTCAGTAAACATCTGGTGCAGCTGGAAGGATTTTTACAGAAACTTTTTACTTTTGGACATTTGTTATGATGAGTAACCATGACAATAAATATCTATATCTATATATATATATATATATATATATATGTGTATACATATATATATACACATATATATACATATATATATATGTGTATATATATATGTATATATATATGTATATATATATATGTATATATATATATATACACACATATACATATATATATACAACCGGGAGCAGCTGATTAACATCTCAAAAGCTGAAATAACACCTCATCTACAGCCCCAAATACAGAAGTTTAAATACCTCGGGGTTCACCTGGACAACAGACTGTCTACAAGAAGGGACAGAGCAGACTGTACTTCTTCAGGAAGCTGAAGTCCTTCATTGTTTGCAGCATCTCCTACAAGTCTGATGTAGAGCGCGCCATCTCTTCTGCCATCATCTGCTGGGGGAGCAGCGTCAGAGCAAGTGACTTGAAAAAGATCAACAAGCTCATAAAGAAGGCTGGCTCAGTTCTGGGGACTCCCCTAGAACCTTTGGTTTGGAGGTGATTGTACAAATGATGCTTCATAAAAGGAAGAACATTATGGACAACCCTCAGCACCCTCTTCATCAGACTGTCATACAACAGAGTGTCTTCAGTCAGAAGCTTCTTCAGATCCGCTGTAAGACAGACCAGTACAAGAGATCCTTCCTGCCCACAGCCACCAGCATCTAGAACAATTCTTCACTGAAACCAGGATGATGAGCTACAACATTTAATTTACCTGGGATTAATGAAGTGTTTCTGACTTTAACTGAATTTTGGATTGCCATGCCTTTTAGATCAATATAATCTAAAATGTACTTATAGAGATTATAATAAGGTTCAAGGTTCTTTATTGTCATCACATGTGGTACTTGAGGTGGAATGAAATTGTACTCAGGGTCTCAGTTACACCCAAAAATAGCAAAAATATTAAGTATAGATACAGTATACAAGGATCTAAGATATATGCTAAACACTAATAACGCAAAATAATACGGTGTATTTAACAGCAGCCCGAACATGAGTCTGTGGTGAGTAGATGGGTACGAAACAGCATTAAAGGCAAGAAATCAGCAGCATGGATAATCAGCAGCAATTAAGTTTGTAAATCAGCACAGACTCAGTTAATCCAAAATACTTTCGTGTACTCATTGCCATGTTTAATCATCAAGGATTACATGATGCAACAACAGATCTGTGATGCGTTCAAGGACATGTGTTTAATAAAGAAACTATAGGTTCTAGTTGGAGAAAGCAATAAAAAGGCTCGTTTTCCCAAAAGTAAAACTCATTTTTAAATAACCCAGAACGTTTATCCGGTGGCTGAACTCCGTAATATTTAAATTTGAGGTGGATCATGTTCTTTTTGTCAAGAGGAAGAGGAAACTACGTTTTTTCTGAGCCGTGACCAGTTTCTGGCGTTATACGACAGACTGGTTACCACTCAGGATAAACGACTCGCCATCCTTTAAAACGAACAGGATTTTGTTCGATATGGATAATCTGTAATGGTTCTCATCGGTAAATGTGTTGTAAATGGAGAAATAGCAAACGATCCTTTGCAGATGTTACTGTTTATTTAAAATCTATTTAACCCCAAAAATATAAGATCCAGTAAAATTGCTAAAGATCTGACTATATTTATTCCCTTTTGTTTAAGCTCCTGAAATTAATAATTTTCTATGATTATTTTATGTCATGCACTTCTTTATGTTTACAGCCCCCCAGGTTTCATGTGCCATTTCTCTCCGTGTCCTTTGGACAGAGCTGGACTAGAAAGGTTTCGTCAAAATGATTAAAATAAAACAGCAACTAAAACACAATTCAGTTTTGAATGTTACAAACGTAATTTAAAGGAGTCCAAACCTCAGAATCGTGTTAATCCAGTCAAAATGTTATTTCTTCACCTGTGAGAAACTCTTCTCACACAACACTCATCGCACAGCAGCTGACAGAAGCGAAACATTTGCATTAAAATTGAATCAAACACAAAGTTTTTACCAACAATAAGTTTATTCTGAGGAGCAGGATCATGAAAACAAAAGACGTGTGCGCGTTTGTGTCACTGAGATGTGGCCATGATGCTGGAAACGCCTGTGGAAAAACAGTAGAAGAAGAAAAAGAAGTGAGACGAAGAACCTCTGAAGTTTAAATGGAAACAGAACATCCGGTTTTCTGAGCACAAGCTCTTTAAATCCACAACTTTAGTTTAAAAACACCCATTAACAATATCCAACGTTTAAAGCTGAGAAGCAGCAAATTATTATCAGGACATCTAAGATTTATTAAAAAAGGAAACTAGAAAAGTGTCTTCATCTAAATTATTAAGTTGTGAGGAGGTTTGAGATCGTTCCAACGTCAAACGTTGGCAACAACATCAAGGAGCACAACTTCACACAAATTCAAGAAGTGTAACTTCGCTTTCTCTTTAAAATCGGTTTTAATCGTCCAAAATCGCATTTTTGGACGATTAAAAGCGGCTAAGCTACGAGCTAAGCTAACAGGCCGATCTCGGGAATAAACCCCCGTCTTGTCGAAGCTCCAAAATTCACGGTTGAAACCGGTGCCTTCGTCTAAAAAGTTGTTTTTCTCTGCAAAAAGAAGCTGAGAACTCGTTCACTGATTTCTTATTAAAAGCTTTGTGTGAAAAACTTTATGCTAAAGAGCTCAAGCCACACCGAGCGTCCGCCATTTTGAGAACGAAGTGAGACAGCCCATGTCACGTCAAGAGGCCTCCCTCCCATTTTTCTTAAAGAGACACGCTCGCTCCCTCACTATCCATCCTTCAGTTCAAAGTCTTATACTGCCATCCAGTGGTCGAAAAAAAAGACTACATGCAAAACATAACCAAAATTTCTTCATAGATTTGACAATAATTACTAATTATTAGGGTTGCAGAAAAAAAATTATATATATTTTTTTAACGAAAATAGATTCTTAGTTCTGGCGATTCTGAATCGATTCTAAAGGCCCATAAATCGATTTCAAAATGCGTTTAAGTTTTTTTTCCTTTTCCTGCTCCTACTCCAGAGCGTACTGCAAATCGCATTACGTGTCCGCTCGGCCGCCGTAGATTTGGGCCGTGTAGGCCACCGTACAGCAAGCTAGTTAGCCAGCTCCCTTTATCTGAATGGAGCCTGCTGGCATGGAGGACAGCGCGATTCAACCCATTTCTTCCTTTTCAAAAGTCATTTCAGATCCTACAAAGTTCCGGGGGAAGACGGAGCTTAACAAGAGCACGGTTGTTCGCAAGAAGTGTAAAATTAAATTGCAGGACAGAATTTTGGAGATACAACAAAATGCGTGGAAGATAAAAGTGACGCAGCAGATCGGCGAGCTCTGCAACAAACTTCCAGGCTTCCCCAAAGGCTGCAAACATTTCCCTCTCCATCTCCTGCTGTATCACAAAGATTTATGAGCAGACAGCTCAGTGGAAGGTGAGGGGTTGTTTAGGTTTGTTTTTAATACGCTGGAATCAATGTACGTTATTCCTTCACGTAGCTTTTTAGTGATAAAGCTGTGAAGTCTGCATATTTCATATTAGGTAAAGTTTTGAAAATATAACAAATGTTAGAGCAATATGGTTTAAAAAACTGTGAAGTCTGTATTTTGAGTTAAAGGTTAATGCACTATGGCAGGCTGGAGTCTTTGTTTAATTTTATATTGATACATTTTGAATTATTTGTCTGTGATGGACTGAGACCTGTCCAGGTGTCCCCCACCTCTCACACAGTGATGGCTGGACGTGAGCACCAGTGACCCCAGTGACTCGAAAAGGAAGAAGTGGGTAAATATGATGGATGAACTGTTTGATCCTAGAGTTTTTTAATTTTTATTTATTTATTTTTTAATCCAGGCAGCTAAGCTAACCTAATGCTGGTAATTTAAGTTACAGAATGTTATGCACTCCTGTATTTGTTCCTATTATTGATATAAATATAAAATGATGCAAAAAAGATTTGATACAGGAAAGAACCTAAAATTATTGTTTTAAATAAATGTTCTATTGTTTACATTGTTGTTGTTGTTTAATCTTTTCAGCTTGTCAGTTACATGACTGAAGCAAAATTTATGACCATTTCAATAGAAAAAACATTTCTGAATCGAAAATCGTTTAATTGAAAAATCGATTTTGAATCGCATCGTGACACCAAAAATCGTAATCGAATCATCAGACACCGAGATTCCCACCCCTACTATCCATCCATCCATTTTCTTTACCCGCTTATTCCATTTAGGGTCACGGGGGTCGCCGGTGCCCATGTCCAGTAATCACTGTGTGAGGGGCGGGGGACACCCTGGACGGGTCGCAAGTCCATCACAGGGACACATAGAGACAAACGAGACAAACAACCATTCACTCTCTCACTCACACCTAGGGATAATTTAGAGCTACCAATCAGCCTAACATGCATGTTTTTGGTCTGTGGGAGGAAACCGGAGCACCCGGAGAAAACCCACGCATGCACGGAGAGAACATGCAAACTCCACCCAGAAAGGCCCCTGGACCGGGATTTGAACCAAGGACCTGCTCGCTGAGAGGCAGCAGCTCTACCAGTTGCGCCACCGTGCTGCCCCCACCCCTATTAATTATTGTCAAATTGAAAATATTATCGTTTATCGCAATAATTTCTTAGACAATTAATCGCCCAGCAAAATTTATCGTGACAGGCCTAGTCACATGTTTAATTCAATTCAGTTTATTTATTTAGCACCAGATCACAACAAAGTTGAAGAAAACTGTTGGTACAAACAGCACGCGGCTGAGTCTTTGTTCCCACCCACCCCAAAACTGTTGTTATAAACAGCGCGATGCGCAGCTCAGGACGTGTCTCCGTCCACCCCCCCGACAAAAATCACATGAGATGAGCGCCCCCGCCGTGGCAAGTTATCTGGGAAAACAATGAACAATCTAAGGCTGATCTCTTGAACGACTGCGGATTCTTATTTGTTGGACACCTCAGTCCGCTCTGGACCACCTTGGTCGACGTTTATTAGGGATGGGCATTATAATCAGACACACTCGTCAAATCCATCGGTGACTATCACGTTTGCCTTTAAGCATGCCAACAGTCACAAGCCTGCAAGACAACGGTTAGACGAGTCAGATTTTAGGAGTCAGCACTCACTCTCAAAGTCGATCTTCTCCACAATGTTTTTGGGCTTGATACTTTCCTCCTGGTTGTAGATGAATATCTGTCCATCCTCGTTCTCTGTCCAGTCGTATTTATTCATCCACACTTTCAACTGCGTGTCTGTACAAACAGGAAACAGGCTCAGATGGTTTGGAAACCTTGTTTTAGACCGAATGCAGCAAAGGTATGCCGGATCCTGCCGGAACAGGATCATTTACCAATTATATTTTACAATTGCCACTCAGTTGCATGGAACTCTTATTTTGACAGGGTGCACTCCGGTAACTGTTCGGATCCTGTAAATTTTAGGCTTACTAATAATAAAGTTATGAACAAATATGACAGCCTTAAACAAATAAAACTTATACTGGGTATGTAAACTGAAAATAATTACATAAACACTCATTTTAAACACAACAGCATACGATATGCCCCTTCAAGTAGCATTTCCACGTCTACCCTTACTAAAATCTCCACCCCTAAAAGAGTGGTGGGGTGAGTACCGAGCTAACCAGGCAGGAGTCCAGAGGCAGGCGCACGTGGAGTCGGAAAACAGCGAGCAGGGACAGAGTCGGGCTCAGAACCGTAACGTGAGGGGGAGGGTGCTCGACAGAAGCGGAGTGTTTACAAATGTAGGTAAACTTAGACGTTTAACAACCTGTTAAAATACACCAAAACACAGGAAATCACATCTACTTCAGAATAAAGTGACTTGTATCAGAGAGTTCTTACCCAGTGGGTCTCCCAGCATCTCTGCCAGTAGCCGGCGCTCAATGGTTTGGTAGGTGATCCCCACCACGTGGCAGATGACTGAAGGTGAGATGAGCAGGTTTAAACAAAGATCTTTCTAATTAAAAGTGAAACAAGTTTCAGTTTTGAGCATGCATCAGGATATTTTGTTCTGTTTTTACACCCCACCAGCCGTCCAATAAAACCGCTCGTTTTAATTTACTGTAATCACTTTGTCAGAAAATGATGCTCACATTTTCGAACGGAGTCCTCAAACCCAGTAATACCATCAATGAGCTCCCTGTTCTCCTCCAGACTCGCCTGTCAGGAAAACAAAGAAGAAACAATCTGAAAGTTAAAAAAAAAAAAAAGACTCAGAACAAAGTCTGATTGATTTACAGGCTGGCTGATGTGATCCTAAGATTTTTAAAATCAATTTAATTCAGTTTATTTATAACGCGCCAAGTCACAACAGAAGTCGTCTCAGGGCACTGAACACAAACATTCATATTTAAAATAATAATTGAACATTATTTATCATTAAGTGTCATTAAAGCAGACAGATAATGAGGGAGGGTGAGAGATGAGAGTCCTCATAGCTGGAGAAGATAAGCTAGATCTACACAACAAACTTTTCATTTTCTGCCTGATGGAAATAGCTAAAAAAAAAAAAGGGCTTTTGCAAGATGAATCTTTGTCATCATTAATCTAACTTTAAGAATGCTTTATTTTTATTTAATGTCAGTTTGAGTCTTTGTAATGTACATGGAGTTAAAGTGTGTTTTAATGAGTGTCGTACCCAGAAGCTCTGGAAGTGGCAGGTCTCCAGCAGGTTCCCCAGGTAGAGGATCTGCCTGATGGGACGCTCCTCTTGCTGCGACACAGTAGTCAAGGAAACTGACCCCCCCTCCCCCGAAAAAGGACAAAGCCAACTTTTTGAAAAACTAATAATATCTGAAAAGATCAGCAGCCGTCTTTGCCTGACGTGTAACAAAAGCATAAAGAGATGACGGCGCACCAAAAAGATACGTGTGTTTGGTCGATCATGCACTTGCAGAGAGTGAAGTCGGTGTGCGGCAGGTTGGTCAGAGCTTTCAGCAGAATCTGTGACGTCACATGAGTCTGGAAGTAGGCTGGATTAAACTGGTACCTGCGGGTTTAATGAGAAAACGCACTGTATTCATGAAGATGAGAAATATTCAAACAAAGCATATCTTACAAGAAAAACTAATATGATCTAATCATTTAGGACAAGTCTTCTAATGTGGTTGTTGAAGGATTATTAAAGAGCTACTAAGTAACCAATTAGAATAAATAGTCACAGTTCTGAGAGTTTGATTATTAAACAACGCCGTGGGAACATACAGCTTCAGGATGGCCAGGTTTGCCTCCAGATCGTAGGCATTTTCTCTCGCTTGCGTCTCCACGTAACGCTCCAGCGTGGTGAGGTTTTCAGGGTTGTACCTGTGAAGATACAAACAAGTGACTGTGGCTGGTGCCAGTAGATCAGATGGGGGTATTTTGTTTAACACAATCGGACGGCCACGTTTAAAAAAAGTTGTTTAAAACGGCTTTGCTGGAACACACCTTCAGTACGGTTTCTTCTTTTGATTAAGAGACGTTTGTAGCGTTATTATTCTTGATAGAACATTAACCATGGAATAAACAGACACTAGTGGAGGAAAGACAGGCTGCAGGTTTCTTTTCAAATCCTAAAGGAGAGTTGGCGTCATTATCAGAAGGCAGTTAAAGCCGCCAAATCGAAGTTCTTTTCTGCAATAATTGCCTCAAACTCCCACAACCCCCGAGCCCTTTTTTCCACCCTGAACTCAGTTCTACACCTCAGTGAACCTTCACCTCTAGAAGCTTCAACTGAGCTGTGTGAAAACTTCCTCCATTTTCTTTTCTAAAAAAGTTGCAAACACCCGGGCACTCATTTCTCCACCTGCTCATGATCCATCCATCCCATCTCATTGTGTTGTTGTTCTGGACCACTTCGAGCCCATCTCTCTGTCTTCCCTGGAGCAGGTCATGTGCGGCATGAAGCCATCTGGCTCCCCTTTTGACGTTGTCCCCCCTCGACTCCTGAAGGAGCTTATTCCTGTTCTGGGCCCTCCTGTTCTTGGCATTGTGAACAGCAGCTTAGCCTCAGGTGTGGTGCCAATAACTTTTAAACATGCTGCTGTCCAACCTCTCCTGAAAAAACCTAGCCATGACCCCTCAGTCATGTCCAACTTCCGGCCTGTCTCCAGACTCCCATTTGTCGCTAAACTGCTGGAAAAAATAGTGGAGTCCCAGCTGAAATGCTTTCTAGAGGATAATGCCATTTTAGAGCTATTCCAGTCTGGCTTTAAACCTCTCCACAGCACTGAAACTGCTCTACTCAAGGTTTTTAACGACATTCTCCTATTCACAGACGCTGGTGATTCTGTGCTCCTTCTCTTACTGGACCTCACATCTGCCTTTGATACAATTGACCATGAGATCCTCATTGCGAGGTTAGAGCAGTGGGTGGGCATCACTGGGTCAGCCCTCGAATGGTTTAGATCTTACCTCGCTGACAGGTCCTTTTGTGTCTCCATCAAAGATTTTAGTTCAGCCTCGGCAGCGCTTAAATGGGGGGTACCACAAGGGTCCATCCTTGGTCCTCTTATTTTCTTTATACCTGCTGCCACTAGGTGCTATTTTCAGGAAACATAACATACCTTTTCATTTCTATGCAGACGACTGCCAAATCTACTTCCCCCTCAGACTCAACGGTACTCGCTCTATTCAACCGTTACTGGACTGCCTGGCTGACATCAGAGATTGGATGGCTTTAAATTTCTTGAGTTTCAACGAGAAGAAATCTGAAGTTATGCTGTTTCCTCCCAATGACACAATCACCAACCACTGCATCGACCTATCCGTTCTGTCACCGTTAGTGAAACAAAGAGTCACTAATCTAGGAGTGATACTTGACCCCTCTCTGAAACTCAACAATCATGTAAACATGATTGTTAAATCCTGCTTTTTCCAGCTGAGGCGACTGTCTAAGCTGAAGCCCATATTGTCCAAAAATAACCTGGAGACAGTAGTTCATGCATTCATTACATCCAGGCTCGACTATTGCAACTCACTCCTTTTTGGTATCAGTCAGACCTCCATAGCTAGACTCCAACTGGTCCAAAATGCAGCAGCCCGGTTTTTGACCAGCACAAGCAAAAGGGAGCACATTACACCTGTTTTGACCTCACTGCACTGGCTTCCGGTTCACCTTCGAATCAAATTCAAAATACTCTTGTATGTCTATAAATCACAAAACAGCTCTGCCCCCTCCTATCTTACTGATCTGCTCCAGCCGTATGTCCCACCACTTTCTCTCAGATCAGCAGACCAGTTGCTCCTAACAGTCCCAGGAACCCGTCTCAAGCGCAGAGGTGACAGGGCCTTCTCTGTAGCAGGCCCAAGACTTTGGAATGAGTTACCTCTGCTCGTTAGACAGGCCCCCTCCCTCACAGTTTTTAAATCTCGCTTAAAAACACACTTTTATTCCCTGGCTTTCTGCACTGTGTGATCTGTGCTGAGTCTGTGTGCATCACATTGTGTTGGTCATGTTGCGGTTGTTGTTGTTATCCATTATTGTTTTTGTTGATTTCTACTTTTTGGTGTCCTGTTATGTAATCTGTTGCTGTGTGCTTGTTCTGTTTGTCCCTGTACAGCACTTTGGTGTGCTTTGTCACTGTTTAAAGTGCTTTGTAAATAAATTGGTATGGTAGTGACATGTTTAAACGTGAGCACACTTTTCAAAAAATACAGAACTACTTTAACATTTACCTTCTTGATCTAAAAATCCACATGACAGTTTATTAAAAAAATAGAAACAGTCTTACTTTAATTTATCCCGAATTTTCACCCACTGTACCACCGCGTCACTGTACCGGCTAACACTAGCTGCGGTTCAGATTTAAGGTTGGTTTATTCAAATTACCATCCAGTCTGAAATAACAACATATCTCAACATAAACTTGACTAATCGTGCAGGTTGAGTGAAATGCTGTAACCGTCGCAGATCTAAATAAAAGACTCAAACTGGTTATTATTAGCAAACATGCTAAGCTAATGTTAGCACGATCACCTGATTATTCATCGTTTTCGCTGATTGATCGTACCTGTCGATCCCTCGCAGGAGTTTCCCGACGTTCGCTCTCATCTGCTCGAAGGATGACGCCATTTGGTCCAATAAATTTGGGATAATTTTATGGTATTTTTATTTTTAGTTTGCACGTGGGCCGCAAAGCAGATAAGACACGGGGGCGGAAGAAGAAAAGGGTCGGACCGGAAATGACCCGGACCAGAAATGTCGATGGGCCGGTGAAGTGGGAAAAAAACATAAGATATGGAAAAAAATATAAGACTACCGGTAGTTAAAAAAAAAAAAAAAAAAAAAATAATTAATAAAACAATATATATATCACATATAGGGGGTTTCATTGACTCCTATTTATAATTGAAAACAGTTTTATTTAAATTGTAGATAAATTGTTCTAGAAAACTGGTGTAACTGGTCCTGTTATGTTGGTTTCAAACTGTGACATATGCGAGGAGATCCAGGAAGTCTGAGACAATAAATGATTTCTGTGTAACTGCTGTGTGTCCAGCAGGTGTCGACAATTTTAATGTGACTGTTTAAACAGAGAGCTTCATGACGTCAGCAGGAACTCTGTTCAAGAAACTCATCTGTTTCTTCAGGACTTTACAGACTGTTTTATGATTGTTGGCACCTCAAAAATCTAGTTTCACGGCAGCTTTTCACTAAGTTACAGTCACAGTTGTTCAAGGTGTATTTTTCTTTATATTATAGTTTTTTTTACAGTTTTGAGTGTTTCATGTAATCTTCATAAAAAAAGGTTAAAAATTGACAGTTTTTCTGTTTTAGTTTCAACAACAAATATGTTTAAGTTTTCTCTTACAATAACATCTGAATAAAAAAATGTAAATCAACAAAAAAGTAATTGGCTTTGACTTCTGTAAATAAAAAAATATACAACAGGGATCTACAACTGTTTTAGCACCATGGACCGATTTGATACAAGACAATTTTCCCACAGACCAGCAGCAGGGGTGCGAGTGTGAGGGTATGTCATGCATACCAAAACACAATAAAGTGCATAATATATAATGAAATTATTCTATCTGAAATAAAATTTAATTATAATTTATATCTTGTAATGTAAATTTTGTAATTTAAAAAATCAATTATTTGTGATTCATTTTATATAATATAATACAACTCATAAGCAATAAGGTTAGTCCTAAATATCTTTTTTCTTAATTTCTTGGTGTTTTCTTTTAAATTCATTTTTATTTTTGGTGGCAGTTATAAAGCCTCCTGCTGTCATATATCTACTTTAAAATAAACTGTATAGAACTAAATTACCTGACATCAGATATCACTTCACTACTTGCTTAAGCTGAGATCGGATGCTTTCCTTCCTCCCTCTCCGCTTTGCTGCTCTGTCTGTCTGTGAAACTGCTTCTGAGACTCTGAGACTCTCTTGCATTTCTTCCGAACCATAATTATGGACTTGTTCTGACCAGTTGGTCCCTCAACTCAATTCACAACATTTCTTCAAGAAAAGACAGGCTTTAGGTGAGCCGATTTACCCTGTTGGCACGTACGCAGCTGGATATCTTATCGACTGGAAGACTTGATGATGTGTCTATCTCTGCTGCCATCTGTGGATTTTAAGGACGCATATTTAATTGGATTCATGATAACTGGTTCCTGCTTTTTGGATTCAGCTGGTCCTGGTTTTTATCTACAATCAAGGAAGTCGTCAGCAGCAAATTTGGACCCGATCACGCTGCTTGCCTTTATGATGGTTTGGTTTCATGTCTTCGGTCCCCCTATTCAAAAAGGGGGACCGAAGAGTTTGTTCCAACTACAGGGGAAACACGCTCTTAAGCCTCCCTGGTAAGGTCTATTTGGGGGTTCTGGAGAGGAGGATCCGTCGGATAGTCGAACCTCGGATTCAGGAGGAACAGTGCGGTTTTCGTCCTGGCCGTGGAACACTGGACCAGCTCTACACTCTCAGCAGGGTCCTGGAGGGTGCGTGGGAGTTTGCCCAACCAGTCTACATGTGCTTTGTGGACTTGGAGAAGGCGTTCGACCGCGTCCCTCGGGGGGCCCTGTGGGGGGTACTCTGGGAGTATGGGGTACCGGGCCCTTTGATACGGGCTGTTAGGTCCCTGTATGACCGGTGTCAGAGCCTGGTCCGCATCACCGGCAGTAAGTCGGGCTTGTTCCCGGTGAGAGTTGGACTCCGCCAAGGTTGCCCTTTGTCACCGATTCTGTTCATAACTTTTATGGACAGAATTTCTAGGCGCAGCCAAGGTGTTGAGGGGATCAGTTTTGGTGGCCTTAGGATTGCGTCTCTGCTTTTTGCAGATGATGTGGTCTTATTGGCTTCATCAGATCGTGATCTACAGCTTTTGCTGGAGCGGTTCGCAGCCGAATGCGATGCGGCCGGGATGAAGATCAGTTCCTCCAAATCCGAGGCCATGGCCTTGAGCCGAAAAAGGGTAGAGTGCCCTCTCCGGGTCAGGGAGGAGGTCCTACCCCAAGTGGAGGAGTTCAAGTATCTTGGGGTCTTGTTCACGAATGAGGGAAAAATGGAGCGTGAGATCGATAGGCGGATAGGTGCAGCGTCTGCAATGAAGCGGGCGCTGTACAGGTCTGTCGTGGTGAAGAGAGAGCTGAGTCAAAAGGCGAAGCTCTCAATTTACTGATCGATCTACGTTCCCATCCTCATCTATGGTCACGAGCTTTGGGTTGTGACCGAAAGAATGAGATCTCGGATACAAGCGGCCGAAATGAGTTTTCTCCGCAGGGTGTCTGGGCTCTCCCTTAGAGACAGGGTGAGAAGCTCGATCATCCGGGAGGGACTCGGAGTAGAGCCGTTGCTTCTCCATGTCGAGAGGAGCCAGTTGAGGTGGCTTGGGCATCTGTTTAGGATGCCTTCTGGACGCCTCCCTGGTGAGGTGTTCCGGACACGTCCCACCGGAAGGAGGCCCAGAAGAAGACCCAGGACACGCTGGAGGGACTATGTTTCTCGGCTGGCCTGGGAACACCTCGGGATTCCCCCGGAAGAGCTGGCCCAAGTGGTTGGGGAGAGAGAAGTCTGGGCCTCCCTACTTAGGCTGCTACTCCCGCGACCCGACCCCGGATAAGTGGAAGAAAATGGAAGGATGGATGGATGGTTTCATGTCTCGAGTACCCGGACTCAAATGCTTTGGGCTGAATGGATCAGATCTTGGGGATTTTTACTCAGACATATTCCATCGGTGTGGTCATGTTATTTTGGACATTTCGGAACCGAGTGGACCGACACAGACTCAAGGTAGATGTCATTAGGTTCTGCCTGTCCCCAAAACAACTGTGTGTTATCTAAATTTTGGTCGCCTTGGTGTCCTTGAAGGCCACCTTATCTGAATGGCCACCTTATCTGAATTCGCCTGGAGAAAATGTGATCTGACGCTCACCACCCCCTCCCTGAGGAATTTCCAACTGATAACCAGATGAACCAGCTGAAAAAACTGTCATCATTTCAGGACTCTTGGATACTCAGGGGTTATTCTTGGCCATTCCTCGACATACCTCGAGAATGTTTAAGGATCTCACCGGAGGACATTGACTGATTACAGTGACCTCGAGAGCATCTGTAGACGTTGTTGACCGCTCTCGTCTCTTCCTTATTCCTGCTCTTCTCTATTGCAGATTGTCTATGTAAATATGTACTTGTTTGTGCGAGGTGTTTTTTCAATATTAGGGGGTTTTCTCAGCCAAGAAAAAGTCTGATAGGATTTTTTTCACCTCCAACTCCTACATGTGTCCAGTTAACCACTGTTTTTGTCTGTCCAAACAGGTCTCACTTGTAAATGAGTCTTCGAGGCTCAATGTGATTTATCTGTTTAAATAAAGGTTGAATGAATAAAAAAAGATATTAAGATTAAGGTATGGAAAGCTGCTGAGAGCAACCAGATGTTAGAGTGGGACTTGTCCAGATGTTTATGATGAAAGCAGAGTCCTACCTGAGCTGCAGAGTGACAGAAACACCATCAGTGCTGCGTGGCCCATGTTCCCTCTGCATTTGATGTGAAGCGTCGTCTCTGCTCATCTCTTTATCAGAGCTGGAGTCAGGTCCTGCCTTCTGAAGGCTTTCTGCTCAAACTTTTTACATCTTCTACTTCCTGACAGTCAGAGCTCATGAAAGATGATTTGTTTCACAGATGATGGACTCACTTCAGAAATAAAACAAAACAAACATAAAACAACTACAAAATTAGAAGTTATCTGTTTTGCAATTCAAAATAAAATGACGATTTATTGCAAGCTATTTCACAAACAAATGTAATAAATTACTTTTTTAATCACTTCAAATGATTTTTTTGTCTTCATGCTTGGAGAATATTATGAGTAAACTCTTTAAATATATTTTTACATTTAGAAACTTGTTTTGATGCACATTGCACAAAGCAAGTTTTTCCAATAACTAATATTCCTCAGATCAAAAACAAATATGTATTTTCAAACACAATTAAACATCAAACTTATTTTGATATTTGTGCTTCTTGTTGAACTGACACATGATATCAACTAAAACATCCAGGATATTTTAGAGTTAAATCAAAAGCTTGGAAACAGTTAATAATCCAGTGATGAATTTGATCAAATTGTTGTTATTCCTAAAAAAAAATACATCCTTCCAGATTTCAAGACGGAATGGCTGGAAAATTAATATTGTATCAGAGTTGTGTCTAACTCAGCATATTAGATTCCAACCATAAGTATTTGACCATAAAATAGGTTTGTACTTTTATAATGTTTTTGTTCTTTTATAAACACATCATTTCTTTGTTTACAAGATATTTTTCACCTTTAGTTAACTTGGGAAACTGGACTGGGAAACTCAGTCCTCACCTCCTTCTACAGGTGTGCAGTGGAGAGCATTCTGTGCTCCAGCATCAACGTGTGGCATGGAGGCTGCACAGCTGCAGAAAGAAAAGCTTTGCAGAG